GGTACCATAGAGTGGAAGTCAGCCTCGTGTAATAGAAACCGGAAACAGATAGTTCTTTGGAATTAGAACGTCGTGGAATGCCCGAAACTACGGGTTTTCATGGTTGCGAGGAAACTCTTAAAATGATTTGTGTCGTATGTGAATATAACGGAAAACACGCGTCGAGGGTGTAAAGAATCTCGCACCAAAAGGCTGCCCAAAATCACCTAAAGTTTTAAAGCTTTGACGTTTTTTTCCTTAACTCTTTCGTTTAGCCACCAAGAATTGAAACACCTTCAATCATACTCTGGCACTGGTCATTATTTCCGACGAGCGAATTCACACTTCGAGTTTTGTTATGTACACAATGGCTCGACTAGACGCTAAGATCTTAAATAGGTAGCGTAGTAAGGGGATAATAGAGAATGTTAACGGTAGAGAAATAACTTTGACGAATAGTTAAAATCATCCAACCACCACGCATCCGTTTATGTATGGGGCGGTGACGTTAGGATTGAGACCCAATGAATCACACTTGCCCTCACCCATTTATATATGGTACTGTGACACCGTGAATGTCAACACCGCTTTATTTAAAATATAATACCTTAATTTCTTAAGATAAAATAATATAAAGAAAAATATTATAAAGAAAAAATAATCAATGAAAACATTTAGTGACTTTCGTCTATTAGACATTAAATTACATCACTTAATATCTTCTATAATTTACCTTGACTTTCAGTTAGCCTGAAGTATATTTATAAGCATTCTTAATTTTAAAAATCTGTAAAACTTACATTTTACTTCTGCTTATAAATACATGTAATTAAAATACGTACATTTGGCTTGATAAAGTACATCAGAGGATCAAACTCGTTGGTTAAAATAAGTTGTCTTATATATATATATATATATATATATATATATATATATATATATATATATATATAATGTACACTGAGGTCAATACCCAGCAGCAACAGACTTATGCTTAAGCGCAATGTTCAGGGTAAGTTTTGTGTTTTGACTTGACTATTTATATATGCTTGTAAATGGTGCATTATGGGTAGGTCTATTGTATTATTCTAACGGTTATTGCGTTGGCGGTAACGGTTATGTTTCAAATTATTCTAGGATCTATTGCGTGGAAATAATTGTGGATCTTAATGCAGTTTTGTAGCTGTTGTTTGTTAGCTATTTTTATTCATTATTTATCATTGATTGTTTTATTACTTGCTGATTGTTATTATTACGTTTACTTGAGTTTTTATATAATAGCTGGCCACTCGTATCCGAGGATGCCCGTCTACCAGGGCGAGTAACAAATCCCTGATGAAGACTCCTGCTATAGCAGATTTGGGTTTGGTCAACACCCAGAGACACTGGTTTATACTGCAACTATGACGAGCAGACCTTAGTTACAGCTTCATGTAAAGTGCACATTATTTAGCGTGATCAGTAGCCAGTACGCTTAAACCCTCGGCACGATGACTTGTGATTTCGTGCTAGCACAATCTAAGAATTCCGTTTAACCATTTTCAGTAACAAGGCTTGGGTCAAACCGTGGTATGGTTTTCAGGCACTTTCCACTGGTGCCGCTCGCTGTGATCGCCTCCGGTAGCATCAAGAATTCATCTTCCTGACAAATCAACCATGGTGAGATTCGAACCCGGATCTTATGGTCAGAAAGCGTTTTAACCATCCGGCCATGTTTTTATATATATATATATATATATATATATATATATATATATATATATATATATATATATTAACTGATTTAAAAATATGGTTCCATCGCTACACAGGAATTACCATCTTTCAAAAACAGAAACTTAAAAAATTTCAAATTCAATTATTAATTAAATTAAAGTCCCTAATTCTGTTTCATTTTCAAGTGAATTTTGGAATAACTTATTTTGAAATTTACTGAGTTTTATAAGCCCATACATTCATAATATTTGTTTCCAAGGATACGGAGAAATCCATTCATTTTGACAAGGAGCGTTCATTTATACTGTCGACTATTGCATCAAATATGAGTTTTTCAACGAATTATGACATCGGTTCAACGCATGTCGTCTGGTTTTTATCAACGACGAACTGTTTTTGGGCATTTTTTCCGTTAATTTTGTATTTGTATACATAAAGATTCTTTCTAAAAGGGGTGTTTGGATTAGAATACGTTGTATTGAACTACAATTTTAAAATATTATTTCAAATTTTAATAAACTATACTTCTTTTTAAAACAAATAAATGTAATAGAATTATTTAAAAATTATTATTAAATATCAAATATAAGTATCTATATTTCTTTTATCAGCTTTTTTAAACATTATTTAAGGAAAATTTTTGACAATGTCGGCAAAGAATAGCCATTTCATTTCTTTGATTCAGTAAATTTTTATTTTTATAAACCTTGTAATATATAGTTTCTCATGTATGCACAAAGGACATGGGTCATTTAATGACCTAGATATTCTAGCTTTTCTTTTTAATTTCCATTTTACTGTAGGCGTTTTATTGTTTTCTTTTAAGTGCCAGAAATATTTCGACAGGGATGTCTGATTCCGGTATTTATTTATCCTAAAATAACTTTGATGTTGATTGAATCTTTTTTTGAACTGAAGCATTGTGCATTTACGTTGTCTGGATCCTCAATAGATGAGATATTGCATTGTTATACTAATGATTCCGTGCGACATTTATTTTTTAGAGGACAGTTACGGGGATTTCTGCAGTTACATAATTTTTGTTTATCTTCATCTCTTTTTATTTTTATAGTGTTTAAATTTCTTTGGTTTTGGTCTAAGTGTTTTTTCAAGATATTAGCATTATGTTTTTCTAAGTTTTCAGTAGAGCTGTAACTTAATTTTAGGGAGTTTTTATTAAAAATAGTACTGAGATTACTATATTTAGGAAAATGTTTAATAACGATTAACGCAAGGAATTTTTGTCCTAACTTATTCTTAAACATTTGGTTGTATGGGGGTGTATATCAAATTATTTTTCTGTTTTTCCATTTTCATTTTTTATGCAAGTTAGTTTTGGGCTTTTGTAGCCACTATCTTTTAATAGAAATTAATATGTTCTTAGAAAACCTTCTCATTTGCTGAATTTGTACTTATTCTTCTTTCGATAGATAAAGGTATATGCTTAATTATAGATGGAGGATGATTAGATTTAGGGTGTATATACAAAGGGTTAGTATTAGGTTTTTATAAGGTATGTATACATTTTTCATTAAATCTAATGTTATATCAAGGAAATTTACTTTTTTCAATTCTCTCAAATTTATATTCTCTATATAATATCTTTCTAATTTTATCGATTTTAAAATTAGTAGAATCCGTTACAACCATTTGAATTTGAACTTTTTAGTTCCTGCTTTTGAAACATGGTAATTCCTGTGTAGCGATGGAACCATATTTTTAGATCAGTTAATTTATTATATTTATGCTCTGTAAATTTGCATTGAGCACTGTTTTGTAAAAATAAAAATATTAATAAGAACACCGGATTATATATCTTACTGTTCTTTCTTTATTTAATATTATATATATATATATATATATATATATATATATATATATATATATATATATATATATATATATATATTCAAATTTATAACATATACATGATATTGCAATTTGTTTTAACATTGGTGGTGTCTTATCAAGTGATGATGTTGAATGGAAAATAAACGATTTTATGAGTTCAAAAGCCAACCAAACTCCCTCATTAGGGGAAACTTTGTTACGTAATCTATGATGACCAGTCAGAATAGAAGTCTATGTTAATTAAAATAACATCATAATTTACTCTGGTATGAGTACAAATTATTAGTGCATTAAATCAAATTAGAAATCAACATAAAAGTTGAATTTAAAATTAAAAAATTAAAATTCTGTAGTTAACGAAGTATAAAATTTAATATTATTTTAAGATAATTCAGAAATGAAACCAGGAGAAAAAATATATAATTTATTATTGTTCTCAAAGTGCCAATTTATCAGTGAAGTTAGACGCTGATAAAAAGTACCACCGATCACTACACATATTTAATACATGTAAGTCAGAATTATAACTCTGTACTTGGATATATATATAGTTAAACCCAGAGAGCCAGACAAACCTACCAAGGTTTCACCTAAGCAGATCGTCTAGGTTTAACTAGGTCTGCTCTACTCACTGTATCGAGCACTTTATTTAGTTATTTTGCTTACTCGTATCGGTTTCTTTTTCTTTGGGCTTTGAACTTGGATGCTAGACGATTATTTTCGGCTAACGTACATGTTCTTGGTTCTTTCTTTTTTTATACCTTTTTTCCTTTTTGGTATTGGTTTGATTATTCGCAAATCAAGACACCGAAGGTTTTCCGAACGAGTATAATTTCTTATACTTATAAGATTATTACTACTATTAATATATATCTATCTATCTGTACTTGACACACACACACACACACACACACACACACACACACACACACACACACACACACACACACACACACACACACACACATATATATATTATACATAACCACTCGGCTACGGTTTCGTGTGTGTATGTATATATGTGAGATCACCTCTGGTCGGCGGCTGATGAAGACAGGGTATCGCACGTGCTAACACACGTTGTATGTTAAAATATATATATATATATATATATATATATATATATGTGCGTGTGTGTGTATGTATGTGTGTATGTATATATATATATATATATATATATATATTAGTAGAATTTTTTTTCTTGTTTGCGTACGCGTTTTTTTTTCTTTTCTGGACTTAATAGAAGCCATTTTATAAAACAACCAAACAAGAAGCCAGCCCCTTAATAACATCAATATTGAACGTAGCCACAATGTACTGGCCGTACTTGGAAATTAAAAACATGTTTACTTTCAGCGAAATTTTCTGGGTTTTCACATTAAAATATAAATGATATTTATTTAATATTTTTTCAAACGCCAACTCTACTTTCGGTTGGCTTTATACAAACTGGCTTACGACCAAATCACTTTGAAACACCGGGTCCCATACGATCATCGTAGTTAAGTAACGTCGAGTCTTGTCAGTACCTAGATGGGTGACCGATTGGGAATACCTGCTGCTGTAAGCTTGGATGTGCAGATGGTGTAATGCATAATAGCTTGGAATTGTTACTCGGAGAGCCGAGTTCCAGTCCTTGTTGGATTCCTTATATCCGCTTACGTGTAAATACCCTTAGGAAAAAGTATGAATCCACATCTCCCCGTTTACATCTATGGGGCAATTGGTAAAACTTGTACCACTAAATCATTATTATGTCCCCCCAAAAATTCTTACAATCTAAAAATGTTTTCTATCTTTAAATAACCTGAAAAGGGTTGATAAGCCATACAGATAGACTGCTGTAATATTTTGACCATCTGATATACAAAGTTCAAAGTTTATGTGTATAGAATTGCTAAAAAACGTGAAAATCTTATCTAATATATAAAGAAAGCTGATTGTCTGTCCGTGTGTTCGAAAATGCTTCAAAAAGTGTGACATCAAATGCGGGACTGTATTTATTTGTGCACCAACCCCACGCAAAATATTACAAGGTCGGGATTACAGTGAGAGCCACGTGTGTAAATGAACCAAGGTTGAAAAAATGCTAAGTCCCTCGGCACTGCACCTTTGAAGACGTCACAGGCACGTGGGATTAATCGTAACCTCCCCACAAGAGAACAGCAAAGCTCGATCTCATTAGTAAGAACAACATTAGAAATACGACTTTAGTGGTTTAGTAAGCGTAGCATAGATGTGACACAATGTTGCAAGTATGGAACACCTACTGAAAATCGAACTCATTCTTAGTAATTAATTAATATCGTGATACATGTTTGTGTCCGCATCAAATGTGGTGGGCGTTTACTAACCTCCCCACAAAGGTAGGATATGACACAAGGTCGTTTTTATTGTGGGGTGCCCATACGCGTACATAAGAACAACAATTGGGTTGCTCAATACCCGCGATTGTTGTCACACAGGCCTTAACCTCCAACAACCCTGCCACATTAGTGAAATAAAGGAGGTGCTGCTGCAGGGTTGCAATCCCCGCAACCAGTCAAAACTACGCATTGCTTCGATATATATATAAAAAAAACAATTATGGCGCCCCCATTCAGGATTGAATTCAACAGTCAGGGGTAATTTATACAGCGTGAGAAGTTTGTTAACCATGACGGCATGACGAAGTAACGGTGTCAATTGATGAACAACATCCGGCAACAAGGCTTCTGATCGGAAGATTGGAGGTTTGGGGAGTGTGGAAACACCTCTAAACTGCCGTTGTTCCCAGGTCCACCCTGATCCAGCGTGGTAGCACCAATTAGGGTCCCAGCTATGGGCAAATAGTAAAACACTATGAAAATAAAAAAATACATTTTTGTAGTAAAAATAACAGCAATACATTTAGATATAAAAAACAAATAAATAGCAAAAATATCTATTTGTAGTAAAATTATCGAGAGTACATTTTTTAAAGCAAAATGGTCAGCAATACATTTTATAGTAGAATATATAGGTAATCCACCACAGAGAATCCTCCCTGCCTTCCATTAGAATGTCTGATGCCCAACTCCACGAGAGCACCTCTTTGCGACTGCTTGGTTTCACACTGTCCGCTGACTTGAGATAAAACAAATACATTGAATCAATAGCTTCATCTATCGCAAGGAAAGTTGGTTCCCTGTGTCACGCCAGAAAGTTTTTCTTGTCCGAGTCCATCCTTCAAATCTATAAATCAACCATTTGCCCTTCTTTTCTGCTCCAATAGCTTCATGTCTTGCACTTGTCGTCCGTGGAACTCTCTTTTTCTTACTTGCTTCCCTGATAGCTATAATCTCCAACTATTCAAATGCAATGTCAATCGACATCTTCTTGTCTTGATCTATTCCCCGTCCTTTTCTTCATCCTTTCCTCCTTCATGGCTCTTTATTCTTGCTCCCACTCTCTGTAACCCCTTGCATGCTAGTTGCACTTCCACCTTGCTTGGGTGAAAAGTTTAAAAAAAGAAAAGAAAAGAATCACCAACAATTACATTTTATCTGTAGTTGAAGGCATACAACTGCCTTCAAAATATATTTAGTTGAAGCCATAAAATTATTAAAATCTTTTAATGACCCATGGAGGTTGATATGTCATAAAATAAATCAACTGACCAACCAAAGAGCCAACATGAAAGAACTCTTTCATGGCATTAATCCATATAATATCCTACAATGTCTTAAAGTATTGTATTCTAAAATATAACTTATTAAGCGAAACTACAACATAAAACACACATATCATCGCCTCCGAGTAATTATGTACACACAAACATGTTTATGCACAAAAGCTGAGTATCATCTACCATGTATTCTACTGTGAAAGCAGAATAACATATATTTTTATTATTTTAAAGCTCTATAGAAACTTAAAGTTCTGCATTAAATGACCCATAAGGAGTTTATATGCCGTTAAAAAAACAAAAAAACAAAACAAAAAAAAAAAAAAAACAAACAAAAAACCCAGCTGGACTATTACTTATGTCTACCAGCATATGTCATATCTTAGCCAATTTAGCGCTTCTTAATGGCGATAGATAAATTTTAAATCATTTTACTACTAGGCAAGGCGATAAAGTCACAAATATATAACGTCTTAAAAAGAGTCTAAAACACCCAGACACACAGACAGACATTATGAAGGAAAGCGGAGGATAAAAACATACTTCAAGAGGACAGAAGATGACAATTGACATTTCATTTAAATTTCTGATGATCAAAGCTGAGTAGAAAGCAAAATACGGAAGCGACAAATACGAGAGAAGAAACATAGAAGTTAGCATAGAACTTACGATATTGAGTCACCTCCCCACGAGGGTGTCATGTGGCACAAGGCCTTTTTAACGTGGGCATTCCGAGCCCATGGGCTCGGCCAAAAATATACCCATTGAACCCGTATAAACGGTTTCAGGGCCGGTTTTACCTCCCCGAAGGAGACTCCGCTCTTCGGCGTAGCCTCCTTCGGGTTCCTCCCGTCCGTAGGAAGAGAGTTCAACCGAACAGTCGGTTCAAAAGCGAACGACTGCATAGAACTTACGGTTATATCTAGCCATTTCATCTAATTATTTTGAACTTTTTTTGCTTAAAAATTAATTTTGAATATAAATCTTTAAAAATCAAATTTAAAAAGATGTTTTGTTCTTTATTTTCAACCTGGTCTTTTATGAGCCTTACAAATAAGCAATGTGCCCTGTTGAGGGTTTTTATAATTAAATTCCTTATTCAACTCAAACCGTCTTCTTGTCTGAAAGTACAAACCACTTTAGCACTTGTATCATGGCTTGCATGTAAAGAGAAGCGATCAATGTTTGGTTTCTTTTGATTTTATGACATATCTAGGTTTTCCAGGTTATTTTTCTGTTAGTTTCATAAGCAACATGAAGGCAAACATAGATTTGATTGCACGAGAGTTTAAAAGGCAGAGTTTTTTCGAGAGTCCAAAAGGTAGACATAACTTCGGTTTGCATGAAGGTAAAAAAAGGCAGACATGTAATTTTTGTTCGAGAGTACAAAAGGTAGACATAACTTCGGTTTGCCCTAGAGTCAAAAAAGGCAAACGTGGATCAAGTTTGTTCGAGAGTCCAAAGGGTAGACAGGGTTCAGTTTTGCAACAGCGTCGAAAAATATAAACATTGGTTCTGTCTGTACGAGTGTTCAAAAAGTAGAAAAAGAACCGTTTTGCGCAAAGATCAAAAAGTTAGATAGAATTACTTAAACAAATGGTTCCTTTTTTGGCGGGAAATTGGTACCCCTTAGAGCGCGTATACAGTTGGCGTATTGTTGATACCAATTGACAGATAAAAAGCATTGTAGAAACGTCAGGTTGACATTTTTAGTAGCTACCTTGAAAATCAAGCAAATACTATGAATCCTGTATATGAAATGAACGACTATAAAAAAAGTCAGACCAATTGAATTCTGTTAATGACGTCAATATTGCTAATGCGCCATGCGTAAATATCAGAAACGTCCGTGCTGTGCAGTGGAGCAAAGAAAAGCAAATTGGTCGGAGCAAAACCGGCTATCCTTGCTAGTTATTGATGCAACGGTTTCTGGAAATTATTTACGTATTTTTTTCATATCCACAAGTTACACGTCAATTTTCGCTAGATTACAAGCAGTAAAGACCAGAGTAACCTACAAAGACACTTTTTAAAAAAAAATTGAGTTCACCCCATGCAAGGCAATAAAGTTACTAAGACACAAGGTGTTACTAGGTGTGGAAGAATTAGAAACAGTATCATTGCGAAGGAGCGAAAACAAAAGAAGAGTAAGCAGGAGGACATTAAATAGCGATTGATATTGCATTTACATTTTTGAAGATTAAAGTTGGGTGGAAAGCATGGAATGGGAAGAGAATTCCACAAGCGAAAAGTGCGAGAAAAACAGCATAGAATTTACGGTAGTTTACTAATTTTAGTGTAAATTGATGAGACCTCGCCGTCAGTCTAGTACTGTGCTGAAATTAAAAAAAAATTCTAGGCAACATAGAAAAGAGCCCAGCAGAACAATTACCATGAAAGTATTTATAGAAAAGGCACAGGAGAGCAACTTTACTACGGTAGGAAAGTGAGTGAAGCCGAGCGGCCAGATTCAGGCCAATAATATTGCTGATTCGTCTTCGGATATTATCAAGGAGATTAAATTAAATAGTGGGAGCACCGGATCATATGTGGCAGTATGATGATCAACCCAAATGTAAGTTTTACCGACAGAGTTACAGCTCCAAATACTTTCAAATGAAGTTTAATTGCAATTCATACTACCAAAAAACGAATAAAATAAGCGCTTTATAACTATTGTATTTCTCGGCGTTTCCTGAATTAAATCTTTAAATTTTACTCTACGACGTACTGGCCGGTGGTTGCAGTTTGTCACAAGTCTATTCTAAACACACAGGAAGATAATCTATACAATATAGTAATCTGAATCATTGTATACGAATTTTATTAGAGCGATAAAAACAGGCATGTTAAAGCAAGAAGACAACTGATGTGGGGGAGTAACAAAAACCATTACCTTAAAATGGTATGATCAAAAAACAA